CCCTGATCCTGATAAAAGACCAACTGTTGATCAAATACTTGCTGAACCTACTGTAAAAGAGGTGTGATTTCTTTTTAATGTTTAGAAAATACAGATTGATTATTCTTTTTGTCATTTTCTTGTCAAAAAATAGAACTAGAATTCTCATCTAGAATATCAGACTTCTTACATGGCTTACACCATCTTGAAAGGTAGCTGTGCCTTTTGCAACGAAGCAAGACAGCTGCTTAGTGTGTAGTGATAGAAACCTTCTTACATGCATACGCTCAGACAATTATTTACAGCTAATACCATCTTGAAAGGTAGCTGTGCCTTTTTGCATCAAAGTAAGACAGCTGCTTAGAGTGTAGTGATAGAAACCTTCTTACATGCATACACTCAGACAATTATTTACAGCTATCTAATACCATCTTGAAAGGTAGCTGTGCCTTTTTGCATCAAAGTAAGACAGCTGCTTAGTGTGTAGTGATAGAAACCTTCTTACATGCATACAYTCAGACAATTATTTACAGCTATCTAATACCATCTTGAAAGGTAGCTGTGCCTTTTTGCATCAAAGTAAGACAGCTGCTTAGAGTGTAGTGATAGAAACCTTCTTACATGCATACATTCAGACAATTATTTACAGCTATCTAATACCATCTTGAAAGGTAGCTGTGCCTTTTTGCATCAAAGTAAGACAGCTGCTTAGAGTGTAGTGATAGAAACCTTCTTACATGCATACACTCAGACAATTATTTACAGCTATCTAATATCATGATTGCACATCCAATGGTCATCTCAATTCAAAGGCACAGCTACCTTTCAAGATGGAGCAAGGAACTGTGAGACTATTGCCCACGACAGTGAAACCCACATCATGTATTTATGATCGCTTTGGCCTTGTTATATTATAGCTTAACTTACATCACAAGTAGACCATCTTGCCTCTTTCAGATTATTTTCTTTAATTTTTTTAGAATTACTAAGAATTTCTTAGAATGTTCTTAATTTACATAAAATTAAAAAAAATTTCATAACATTGTTTTTCTTAATAAATGAATGCTCTTACTAGAAGTATTCTTTTTACTAGTATTTTTACATTTTTATATACTTACTCACGATGAGATGTTTATATAATATTTATATTTCAGGTTTGGCGAAGAAGAAAGTGGTTACATTACTACAGCTGGATGGTATTTAACTCTTATTAAACTATTTATCAGAGTAGTCATGTTAATTAATATATAAAAATTATGTCACAGCAATTGCCAATGATTTTCCATTGTGTTTACCTAATAATGACTTGCATTTATCAATGAATTTGATAATTATTTTATTTTTGACTTCATTCTTGTTCTAATACCTGTTTCTATTTCCAGAGTTCCCATGCTTCAAAGATATATCAGTGGTTGAGTGTGATTGTAATATGGATCGTCTTCTTAATTATTTGGCCAATGAAACCATTAAAGCGTAAGCATCCATGAAGCTTTACAATATAATGTGCCTAAATGTTGCTTGAGTGGCCATGTCAAGGCATGTTGTGTTGTAAAGTGAAAACATGTACTGTGACCCTCAATTTCCATTTTTTTGTTAATTTTTATTTAAGCAATAAATTTATGATAGCTTGAAGCGGTTTACTGACAAAATAAACCATGAGGGATGGTTGGAAAGAGATCAGTAAATCATGAGTCATAATATAAATTATAGACTTTCAAGACAGCAAGCTGGTTTACCGGTGAAATAAACCATAGCTTTTCTCATGAAATCCACCAATTAGGGTCCGTACAGGAAAACACAGCCCGAGGTATTGACAGTACGGAACGACCGCAGCGAGGCCCGTACATAAAAGACCAAGGGCAGTGTTTTTCTATACGGATCAACCTGTAGCCAGTAAATAACATTTTTATTTTTTTTATTTGTATTTTATGCAACTTTGCTTGCAGCCTAGCTGTAGGATACTATGGACTGGGCAGATCATGAAAAACTGGACTGCACGCTAGCCAATCACAGCTAGCGAATGACTAGGATGCCGGACCATTATTTTGAGTTGTTTTGTGCCTTTATAGCCTGCTGGTGCAGCCATAAACCAAAACTGTAGGCTAGTACCTTTACAATAATATGATATTTCTCAATGGCAGGTTTGTGGTCTTCTGCTGAAGAATCATCACCAAGTCATGATGTTTCGATTCATTCTGATTCCAGTTCTTTGTTTTCTTTAGAAGGTACTGTGCTCTCAATAATAGGCTGTTTGCATTATGGCGTAACGTTACTACAACTACCAGAGAGCCTTGCGCATTTTCATTGTTATTCAGATTTTTAATCCTCTTGTTGGCACTAATTGCATTACAAAAGAAAGTTGGAAAGGCATTCTGGTATTTGTAGTAAATGACGCCATAATTCATATCGCCTATTAAAGTCGCAGCAGATTTGGAAAAAAAATTGATACAAGGCGTTTGAAACTTGGTACCAGTGCAATTCCAGGATTTTTGCCGCTGCACCTGAATGATCATTGCATTTGCTTACTGGCACCCAAATACAAGTACCAGACCTTGTATCAAACATCACATAATGATTGTAGAATGTTTACGGCCAGTGTCTCAGGACTGTTGAGGCCCATGTACACCTGAGAAAGTTTATTGAAAGTTGGTTGATTGGTCCAAAATCAAAGATAGCAAATTTTCATATGTGAGGTTTTTGGATGCACGTGAGCCTTTAAGCAGTTTTATGTGTTTTTGTTCCTCCAGATTCCCACAATGTATCACATGACAGTCTACACACACCTGACAGATCAAGTAGCGGATCAGCAGTATTTGATGATTCATTTGCTGATCCTATTCCTAGACCACCCTGGCACAAGTAAGTCTTTTGATTGATTTGTTTCTTTTCTCACTTCTAACTTTTGAGACATTCTTCATCTCCCTTCCTGCTTCTTTTCTTTCTTGTATTTTTTATTAGTTCACTATTTCTTTCATTTTCCAAGAATCTCCAACCAAATTGCTTATTTTTTTTGCCTCTTTTCTTCCTTGACTTCATACAAGACAAACACTAATAATAATTAACTACATAAAATTGCACGTGGAGTTTACAAAGTGACATAACTTCACTTGGGCACACTTTATTACCCAATTTGAGTCCTTACCTTCCATCCTCCCTTCCTCCTCTTCCTCCCTTCACTTATCCCAACACTTTATCTCTTCCCTTCTTTCCCCTTTTTCTTCTCTTTTCTTCTTTCCTCCTCTGCCATCAGCTCTTCCTCCCTTTGTCTTCTCACACTGTTTTAAACCCCCTGCAGCTTTTACCTTTCTCCCATATATTCTTCTTATTTTCCTTCCCATCTTTTCTTCCGTCCCTTCCTTCAAGAAGATCAAATTTATTCCTTTTTTGCCTTTCAGGAATGGTTATTGTACATCACCAACTGTTATGAATGGCCGTATACCTACCCCAACATCTCATACTAAAGTATACAGACAATCTTTGTCACCAGCAATCAACCCAATCAATGGAAGGTATTATTATAATAGTTAAAAAGACATTTATTATTGCACACTCCTTTAACCCTATTCAGACT